GGTCCATGCACATTTCTCTGGTGTGTTCCAGCTTGTCAGTTGGAGGTGTCCTTTGAAAAGGCTCCCCTTTGTAGCCCATGAACTCTCTACCTCAAAAGGAGAACGGGGGCTGGCGCAGCGCCCGGTCTGTGCTCCTCCTGCCCACGCCCAAGGAAATCTAGGGCGGGAACAAGTCACTGAACATAGGGATTCTGCCGAGTCACTGCCTAAAAATACTGCTGGGCCAAGACAGGCTGGGGAAAGCACCTCTTTGAATTTACCTGGAGAAGGCCCAGAGGAAGTGCAGAAAGACAACCAGCTGGCAATACGCCCAACAGCTGTCTCTGAGGATCCCTGCAATGCAGTCTACCCAACTGTCTTTATCAAACCCAAAATTCCGGTTTGATTAGGGTCTTTGACTCCACCCCTGTGTATCCAACTACGATTCCAACACCCTCGATTCTACCGTACAGATGTCCTGTCCTCTGCTATGATTACTCCCGGCCGTTGAGTCGATTCCAACTCCTTAGCAACCCTATAGGGCAGAGTAAGGAGCCCTAGTGGCATAATGGTTATGAGTTGGGCGGCAATCCTCATGGTTGGCGGTTCAAAACCACTAGCAACTCCACAGCCGAAAGAAAGACTGGGCTTTCTCCTTCCCCATAAGTAATTACAGTTTTGGAAACTCACAGGGGGGTGCTATGGGTCAGCATTGACTGGATGGCAGTGAGTGAGCGAGTGAGTGAGATAGGGCAGAGTAGAACTGCCTCTGTGGGTCTTCAAGACTAAATCTTCAAGGGAGTAGAAAGTCTTATCTTTCTCCAGCAGAGTAGCTGGTGGTTTCTAACTGCTGACCTTGTGGTTAGTAGCCCAATGTGCAACCCACTGAGCCACCAGGGCTCCAAACACTATGTGAGTCCTTCAGCATCTGTCCCCATGTTTTCTACCTTGCTCAGAACACCATCATCTTTTGCAGGGAAGACTGCGCAGCCTCCTAGCTGGTCTCTCTCTGCCTCCAGTGCTTGTGCACCAGCCCACAGTCCACAGCCTGGCCCGGGCTCAGAACTCAAAACACACCCAGGCAAGAAGTGAAGAAAACCAGGAACTGGAGTGTCCGTGATTGCGGTAGTTACATAATTCTGTGTCCACTAGAAGATATAAGCATGTAGGGGTAGAGTCCAACTTGTCAAACAGGTCACAGCCTGATGGTGTCTCCTTGTGGGCATGACTACCTCATAAGGAGGGTGCTGGGAACCTCCCTCTCTGCCTTCACCTTCCTATTGAGTCATGCTGAGACCGGTGCTAGCCCTACAGATGAGCCCACCTCCATTGGATCCACAAGGCTTAGCACCCACAGGCCACTGATATTCCTGCACTCTGCATCATTGCACGTGGCTTCGTGAGTCTGAAGAGAGGCTATGGACTGGTATCGGATTTATGGACCCGAGTGGGACCGGGCTGGGATATTTTATTGATGCTATCATTACATCTTGATATAAAGTGCTCTCTTACATATATGAGAGTCACTGGATTTGTTTCTCTAGTCAACCCGGCCTGACACAGTGATCAATCAGAAAGCTGAGCTTTTGCTAGACTAGGCAAATATAGATCTCATGGACAAGCGGCTGCCCATGGCAAGCGAGAAGACAAATGGAGCAGTTGCTGTCTAAGAGGCACAGAGCTGGGTTACACAACATGGTGACCGACATGAATGCCACCAAACTGTGAGAGCCCACCTGTCAAAGTGACTGAAATGTGTGTTTTCTATATTGCACCACACCTGCATCTTGTGAAGAAAAAAACAATTAAAAAGCCGAATGGCTCCAGAGTTGATTCAGGGGACACAAAGCCAGCAAAGTGATCTAAGTTAGACAAGAGAAAGGGATTACGTAATATATACCATAGGTATCATGTAGATATATTAAATAATTATAATGCAGTTATGGAAATCATCCCCAAACACTGAAATCTACAGAGAATTGCCCAATCCCAGACCACATTGCTAAACTCCCACTGCTCAGCCAGACTCTGTCCTCCCCCCACCCCTTGTTGATTGAGTCTTGGTATACATGTCATCCTCTTGGGGGGTCTTCCTCCGCCCACCAGACCATGTCAAAGCCTCTCTGTTTTGACGTCTCCTTGCAGCTCCTATTTTCCACCTCTAGTTTTCAACCTGTGCAGATTGCATTCTGATTTCTAGAAGATTACATTCTGAGTTTTAGGTTGGTGTCTGAGGCCTGTCATGACAGGGCTGACTCAGACTTTAAGGTGTAGCTCCCTCCATCCCAGGGAAACATCCTTACATGAAATAATTAAACAACAAAATCTGGGGCGAAGAGCAAGCCAATGTATACAGGAAGCCGAAAGCATTAAGAGATGATGACTCTGCTTTGCCAGATAGCTGCTTTCGGCTTTCACTCACACACCTATAATGCCGGCCTGGGTGGTATTGACTCTGAGTTACCCCATCCATCAAAGAAGGGTTCATCAAGCAGAGTTCTGCTGACATCCACCACTACCCCCCCACACACACTCACCAAAAACTGATACTTATAATGTATCATGTCCATACATCCATGTTTCACAGAGAGATGCCTATCAGCAGGCATCAGCTTTGTGGTCAGGCAGAATGCAGCCGAGTATGATCTTGACAAGGAGATTCTGTGCTCATATGTTTCCTGTTTATCGGGAACAGGGCCTAGATGCTAGTAGATAATTCGTCCTTCGTTCTCCTTCACTTAATTTGGGGCTCTGAGGCGAACATGGTGCTGTCTGGGAAGTGGTGGGCAACTAAGCACAGGTCTATGGTTCAAACCCACATGGCATTTCTTGGGAAAAAGAGGAGGCTACCTGCTCCCATAAAGACCTGTGGCCTCAGAAACCCTCTCTTGGGTTACTCTGAGTCAGAATGGACTGGGGGGCACTGGGGCGATGATTAAGAGAATTGGACCCTTCGTCCTAAGGACACGTAAACCCTACCCCTCAGTTCTTAGGGTGGAAATGTCCCAACGATGGGTGGAGATGCAGACATTCCTCCTTCCAGCCCAAAGTCTTTCCTAAGAATCAATGGCGTAACGAGCCACCCAGGCTGATGTGGGTGCATACGGTGGTGTGGTGGTTACTTCCCAGGCTGCAGCCCTCGTGGTCAGCAGTGCTACACCACCAGCAGCTGCTCAGGAAAAACACTGGGCCTTCTACTCCCATCCACAGTTCTGGCTACTTCTGGAAGCCTGAATAAGACCCCTGGAGACCTTCAAAATCATTACCCAGCATCCCGAACCCACAGGGGGTCATTGCAAGCTAGCATGGGCTGGATGGACGGCAAGGAGAGTGCTTGAAGCTAAAGGCAAAGGCAGCTATTGGGCATCATTGCCTCGATTGCTCTTGGCTTCGTTTGCCTGGTTTTAGCAACAGCCCACCTGTCCCTTTTGATCCATGCCAAACGGAGAGCCGGAGAAGAGAGTGAATAGGAAGGAGCTCAGCAGAAAGGGCAGGTTCCTGACAGTGGAGTGTGATTTATCACGCAGCTGAAAGACCTTCCCATTTAGTGCCCGGAATGCACTCTTGTTCCAGGAACCAGTCCACTCACTCACGGCTCCTCCTGGGGACCCCTGGGAGCAGAGATGACACTCTGGGTAAATGAGCCTATTCCATGCCAGGACAGGAGAGACAGACGGTGGCCCTGCCGACAATGGCACTGACTGGGAGCATGGGAGAGTCAGACGGGTCTCAGAGAGAGCGAAGCGGGGGAAGGAGCGGCCACTGGGGGTGGGGGTTGGGCTGTAGGCTGGGGTCCAGCGACGCTGGGGCGGGGCCTGCACTGGCTGAGCTCGAAGAGAGAGAGAGAAACCTCTGCTGCGTGATGGGAGCAGGTGGGGAAGGAGGGGGATGATGGGAGAAATGCCCCTCCATTGGCCATGCTCCACACAGGGAGGGACAACGTCCACAGAGGAGGGGCCCTCAGATGGAGGCTCAGAGTGGTGCAGTGTGCAGCGGACATGATGAAGCACTTGACTACTAGCCAAGAGGTTGGTGGTTCGAATCCACACAGAGGGAGCGTCTAAGAACAGCCTGGCAAGATGCACCTGAAGTTTAGCACCATTGATCACTAGAGTATACAGTTCTAGAGTATAGAATATACATAGCTGTGGCATGGGTTGGCATCGACATCCTGACAGCTGGTTCTGGCTACTTCTGGAAGCCTGAGTAAGACCCCTGGAGCCCTTCCCAATCATTACTCAGCACTCTGCACCAGAGCCAACTCCGTTGACTCAGGCAGCTCACCTTGCCCATGTTCCTCATTACCTGCCACACACACACTCGGGCGCTAAGACTGGGCTTCTTCCCACGGTCTATATCCTAAACTCTCTGGAAGGCTCTCATTCTGGTCCACCGCACCTCTCATCTACATGACCAACATCCTCCCCTATCTATGCTCCCTGATTCTGAATCACACGCCAAAAGAAAAGCTCCCTTGTGAGCCCAGGGCTCTCAGAAGCATCTATGCTTTCTCATAGCTCAACAGGAGAGAAGTCCGTCTCCCCCAAGCAGCAGAGAAGTGAGCGGGGCGGGGACGTGAGGGGTGAGGTCAGCATACCTGGCAAAGGAGGGCCGCTCCCCAGCATCGAAGGCATCTCTCAGCTGTTTCACCAAGGTGTCCTGGCCGGGCAGGCGGAAGATGCCCTCTTCATTCAGGCCGTGCTCCCAGATGAACTCCACACACTTCTCCACCAGGATGGGCACCAGGTGGGGCCCAAATTTCTGTTCATAGGCAACAGTTTCATCCAAGCGCTGGCCAAACACCGCTGCCGAGAGAGAACACAGGCCCACCTGACATTGTGAGAAATCCTTTGCCAGTTTGGAGTTTCCTATAAGCGCGGAGGTTTTAGTACAAGGACAGAAAATGAGTTCTGGAAGAGAAATGAGCTATGCTCTATCCTGGGGCTGTCGATGTGGGGACCTTCCCAGCAGACATTGTCTGCTGACCACATTCTCACAGAATGAAAGGAGCAGCTCACGTGGACCGAGAACTTCTTCCAAACATCAGGGGCCGACTCAACCCGGTGGCAGCCCCCTGTGTGTCAGAATAGAACTGTGCTCACGGGGTTTTCAATGGAGTAGATCATGCCAGGCCATTCTTACAAGGCGCCGCTAAGTGGACTGAAACGACGAACCTTTCAATGAGTAGCTGAGTAAGTTCACTGTCTGCACCACCCAGAGCCTCGGAGTGCTTGTGTCTGCCGTTGAGTTAACTCCGGTTTGCAAGACTGCAGCTCGTGGTGGTCAACCACTGCGCCCTGGTTGTGGTGACATGTTGGGGTGCTGCTAACTTTAAGATCAGCAGTTTGAACCCACCAGCTGCTCT